AGTGGCATTATTATTTTTTTTTTGGTCTCCAAATTTGAAAATTTGAAATTTTGTTACGTTAAGGGGGGGGGGGGGGTAAGGTCACCTTTTTTAGGTCAGCCATTGGCATAATTTTTTTTTTTTGTAGATTTAAAAAAAAAAAAAAAAAAAAAAAAAAAACTCAAAGGGGGGGGGGGGGTTAACCCCCCCCCCTCGTCAATGCATTTTCACTACCAAGTCGCCATCATCATTATCACCACCATTACCATCATCATCACCAACACCACCTCTGAAACTTTAACAAACCAATTCACGAAATAAAAATTGTTTATCACAAGTGTCCATGTATTTGTTTTCACAATACGATATAAGTATCTAGATACAAACAGAAAGCAGTGCCCAGTAGAATCTATGGGTCATGCAAATCATGAATATAGTTCATTGCTTAACTACCCTACCTTGAATCATTTAAAAAGGAAAGTTCATAGTATCTGCTTTCAACAAGCTCCGTCCTTCTGATAACATGTCATTACACGTCATCGATTGTGAGTTTCATTTTACTAAATTTCTGTCAAAGTTTGCAGAAGGACAAACTTTTTTAAACAGAACTCTGTCCCAACATCCAGTTGGTTTGATAAAAGTAAAGGAAATGAAAGAAACTAATCATTGAAAGATTGAGGGAAAATCTGCTAAACTTAAAGAATATGGAAATGATGGATTCTAAAGTTGTGTTAGACATTGAAAATTATAAAATATATTGCACAATTCAAAAAAAAGTTTAATCATAACATAAGTACATGCACATGAATCTTAACTTGTATTCTATTTTTTTCCCTGCATGGTGGGAAACTAGCAAAGAATTTATTACATGTATGATGTACATATATGTCAAATTAGACTCCACAGAACAATTTAAATCACAGTTGAAAGCGTATTTATTTATCTGATGTTTTAGTTTCATTACCTAAAGAACTATATTATGTTGAACTGTATTATCTATATATATCTGTTTATCCTATACTTGAATTCCTGTTTATATAAGATTTGAATTCCTGTTTATCTAAGATTTAGGTTTAATTATGTGTAGAAATAATATCTGTTGAACTGTTTTGTGTAATCTGCATCATTTTTGTCTGTCACGCCTTGATCGGAAGTTTCGGATACGTGCGCGTTATAAATTCATATTATTTTATTATTAAACATTTCCTCTTACAATGTTAGGCCTTGATCAGATGTGACGCAGCTAAACCACCGTGTTCATTCTATGATGTTCTATAGTGTAATAATCATCACATTTCTGTATCATATAACAAAGAGTTCAGGGCACACGTGCATGACTTTTGTCACTGGTTGCCATTCATTCACTGGTTGGCCAATTTGGAAAGAAAAATTAAGATGATTTGCATTAAATAAAGACCATGGTCAAATACACACAAAATAATTTCTGGAGTGTTTGCTTCTTCTTGACTTAGAGTGGGAATAATTGCATGGAGTTGTGAGCCTTCAAGTAAGAGGAAAGGCACAATTGTCTGCATTCCTGAAACCGTCTACACCCAAAATGGGAAAACTTTGAAGGTAATAAAAGAAATCTTGAATCACTTTACATGCTCAGACATGTTTAAAAAAGAAGAATCTAGGGTTCAACTTAGTACTGAATCCAATGACCGGGGTAATGGTATATTGTAAAGCGCTTAGAGACATTTGCAATACCGATAAGCGCTATATATAAAAATTAAATATCATTATTATTATTATTATTGAGGGCTATCAAATGGTAGAGTAATGTCTTTAAAGATATCATGTACGAGTGGGTACACATGACATGTACCTGTAGTCTTGTCATAAGCTTTAGGAAAGTAATGTTAAGCTTCATGTACGGCTAATTGAAATACAAAACTGTACAAGACAAATGCGACTGCATCTCCTTTATGCCTCTGCCCTAAATTCAGTTTAAGGAAATGGATGGAATTATTCTAGAAATATCATGTTGAAAACAAAAAGCCTATAATTACATGTAAACTTAAAACTATGATCTTTGACCTACGTACTCCAAAACCTAATCAGATCGTCCTCCTATTATAATGCCTCCAGCATCGGGCGGAGAGACATGAAAATTACAGTATATTTTGACACATATACATACAGCATACTGCAGCTTTAACGCAAATGCATATTTAGCATAAATATTTCAGGCATGTTCATTCTTCACACTCTATATCACAATTGCATAATAAATAGGAATCAATATGTGGTCATCACAGGTGCTACTTTCTCAACAACTTCCAGTATTGACTGACAGATAAACTTGAGTTCTGGTAAATATAGAAAATAAATTCTCACAGAATCCAACAAAACCTACTAGTGCGGTATGGTATGTAATCCTGTAGGATTGGCCCAAAATGATGGGGTTCAAATTTTCAGACCCCTCCTTCATTTCCTGGGGGGTCCATATTGGGCCCCAAAATGGCATATGTAATGCGCAATAGGGAAATTTGGTGTCTTCAGGAAAATTTTCCGAAAGAGCATCAAAAATAATGTACAAATGTCGAAAACCAATTGAATATGTTAAGTATTGGCTGAGATATGACCATCTGAATAAATAAGTTTCCTATACTCATACTCGTAGGAACTCAGTGTTATTTGCTCTGGCTCCTAATTGTTATGAACCAGAGCAAATAAGACTGAGTTCCTATAGGAAACTTATCTATTCAGATGGTCATATCTCAGCCAATACTTAACATATTCAATTGGTTTTAGACATTTGGACATTATTTTTTAAAAATAGATTTTTAATGACGTCACACTTCACCACTCTATAGCCTTAGGCGTCACCAATTGAAATGTGAGAACATAACAATGACAATGGGATGTACAATTGAGTAAAGAAAATGCCTTTGAGTTGATCATTCCAAAAATAATTGCAATTGTGTAGCGTGTATGAAAGCATAGATATCAAGTGTTTCAGCATGTGCACACAGGCGTGGAACAAAACAAAAGAAGACTTCTAGTACTTGAAGGGCATAATCTTATTGCTGAGGCAAGACATAAATAGTAATACAGCCAAACCTGCTTTACTGCTTTATAAAGACCACATTTTTTGTTTCCCTTAAAAATGGTTTCTCATTGAAACATGTTATAAAGGAACCTGTCTATACAGACCAACTGTCTACAGAGACCACATTTTTGTTTCCCTTGGGCAGTCACTAAAGACAGGTTTGACTGTATTTATGTTTCATACTCTTCCATCATTAGTAGGCTAAATAATAAGACTGTCAATCAAATATGTCAGATTACACCTTACACATTTTCTAAGCTACCTCAATAACAAAAGCTTGAATAGAAATGATCTCAATCACACCATTACTTTTACATATATAAATGTATACAGTAGGTAATGCAATGACTATGGCAATAGCATGGCAGTTCATTCAAAATCACAAGAGTTGCAAAATAGGTACACTTACATTATCCCTTACTTGCTCCAGCAACATTTCCTCCTGGCTTTATTTAGTCAAAGACACATTTAGGGCTTGGGCTGTGATTGGGTTTTAGGATAGATTTAGAGTTAAAGAGGGTGTAAACCGACGAATACAGGGGAACGCCATCTATGTCTCCTTTTGGACAACTGGATGTAAAAGAATGGCCTTGATTAACGGTAGTCAGCCACTTAATCTCTACATGGTCAGTGTTCGCGAAACAGCCCAAAGTTCTCCTCACACTTCGGTTTCATGTACATGTATGTTGCACGCACGTGATTGCTGCGGTCACGCCCGTAGTCGTTTTATACCCGATTGGCCCGAGTCAGGCCACGGGAAAGACACAGTCTCGTCAGTTTACACCCCCATTTAAGTAGCTTCTCAGAAGATACTGACCACTGTACATTGATAGATAAGTGCTTTGTCCACACACCATTTCTGCAATGGCAATCCTTGTAGTTACTCTCCTCACCTACATGTACCATCCCAGTATAGCTTCCTGAGTGAGCTGCTAAATCAATTACTCCCTCAAGTATCAAGAAATTGTTACTAGAGCAATAGAGCATAAATGTACATGTTCTATAATCATAAATGCCTCTCAGAATCCACTGTGTTTACAGGAAGCAATTATTCCAAATATTTCAATGTACATTGAAACCACTAGGGGGAAAAAGTCTGGACGAGCTGGTATCATAGTAATTCTCAGTTTCTTGATTTGCTGTATCACTATAAAAGTCCTCAAGTCACTGTTTGGATCCAACATCATCCTTCACTGGTAACATCTCATCACTTGAAGGGGCATTTAGCCGGGCCATGAAGGTACAGTTCCACTTCTCGGTTCCTTGCTCTTCCATTCATCTATCAGTTCTCAAAGTAATTGCACTTTTGATCCAAATCCCTTGAACTATTCCACTTTTAATACCTCAACTCACTTCATAGGGTATCTGAATTGGCCACTGCCATCAGTTATCCTTCTCAGTTTCTTGGTCCACTGTTCAGATATCACTTTCCCAAAGTCATTGTTTGATACTTACTCGTTACTCCCTCAACAAACCTCCAGGATTAGCTCACACCACCAGCAACAGAGAGGGTGGATACACCAGTGATATCAGGGGGGAATTTTCACAAAACTTATCATCAGTGACAAATGATAGTTTTTGTTATAAGCTACTGATATCCTTGCTTCTGATTGGTTATCAGCAAATTTGTCACTGATTTTTGTCATTTGTCGTTGAAAAAAGGCTTTGTGAAACAGGTCCCTGGTGGCAATCCTGTGACTGGGGCATCGTACCTCAGCTCTCAGTCACTGCTCTAATCAACGTCCCTCCTAGCTGATCAGATAGACAGCATGTTCTCCTCGGTAACGGTGGCAGTGATGGCAGTTTCTTTGTGTGATGAGGACGATGAGGATGATGATGGTGAGGATGATGATGGTGGTGATGAGGATGACGGTAATGAGGATGATGAGGATGATGATGATGATGAGGATGATGATGGTTATGAGGATGATGATGATAATAATAGTAATTATGATATGATGAGGAGGAGGAGGAGGCAGAGGATAATGACGTCATGATGAAACTGATGGCGATAATGATTTCATCTCAGCTCTTAGTCACTGTATTCATCAACATCCCTTTGGAGACTGGCCACAAAGGCATCAAACTCGGATTCATTTTCCTTGAACTGCGCTAGCCTTTCTGGAAGCTTACTCTGTAAGAACAATCAGGAATATTTAAAAAGAAGGTTGAGTTCTAAGGAGAAGTGGACAATACTTTTTGAGAGTTATCCCTGTTATTATGCAAGTGTGGAAGAACATCAGTAAAAAATGTTCCCTTCAAAGCATTGCTCTCCAAATTCTAAATGAGACAAGTAACAATTAAAAAATTAGGCCTGATTTTTATGCCACATGTTTGTGTAGTCCCTTATACATGTTTATGTGTACAGTACTTGTTAATTTACCAAGACTGGGCCAGATTTCTTGACTCCAGAACCTTGCAGTACACACCAATACTTAAATGCTACATGATCAACTTTTCCTAATCAAATTCAAACTGTCTCTTTCACGATGCAATCCTATGACCAGAACTCAACTTTATCTTTAAACATAAGATCAGGACATAACACGGTATAGATCAAAGTTGAGCCATTAACTTCAACAAGCAAACTGCATGGTTTAAAGAGATTGAATGAACTCCCCATCAGAGGTTGACTTACCAGCTCCATGTCTCCACCATAAATCTAAAGCTGTAAGAGATATAGACCAATATACTTTTTTTTTAAGAAAAAAAGAAAAAAGTAAGAAAGAAAGAAAGACAGTGAAAGAAAGAAAAAAAGACGGGAAGAAAGAAAAAAAAAGAAGGAAAGAAAGAAAGATGAAAAGAAAAACAGAAAGACATATATATAAAGATAGAAAGACAGGAAGAAAGAATTTCATTTTTACCAGTGTTTCTCCTAGAGTGGGTTGGTGGTCAAAGAGTTCTAGAGGCGGAGCTTGTTGAAACTGACAGCAGAAAGCTACTAGGTCACTGCTAGTGTCTTGCTTGGCAAAAGCGGGGTTCTACAATGAAAAACAACGAAAAGGTATATATGCAAATAAATTTGCATTCAAATAATGTTACTTATGTTCTAATTGTTATGTAGAACATGGTAATAAGAGCTGAACTAAATAACAAAAATGGGGATACAATGTATGTAAGTAATCAACTGATTTGTGTGCTATTTGTTAAAACTTATTTTGAATGATTTATGAAACTACGTCGGGAGCAAATGTTGGAATGCAGCCTCATAACCACACAAACCAATGAGTGCGCCATTTTTGTGGCTTTAACAGAAAACTACATGATATTAAGTTGTTGTTTTTGCACCATAATCCCTAAGCTAAGCACATGTCATAAAATGAATGCGGATCTTGATTTTGCAGCTCACTGATGTCTATCTGATAAGACAAGAAATGAATATGACATATATATGACATGTACGACGCAGCTATCCTCAAAACAGCAAACACTGGCAATTAGAAAATTGGTGGCTTACTTCAGTCTGCCAATTCACATCTGAGGAAGATGTCTGAAATCTAGACATCAAGACTGTTACAGGTGAATATTCATTTTGGATGTGATACAGGAACGTTGTCACCAAGAAATGAATATAAATCAATCCCTTTTTCCCCCACCCAAAAAATATTTTTCGATACTCAGTCACCTGAAGAAAAATTGGTGGAATATATGCATAGCATTGCACATGTCTGCAGATAATCATCCTTTTTTGGGAACTAGAAGGGCATGAAATCTGTTCCATTGATATGAGTTAATGCTGTTCTGGCTCTCGACTGATGATAACTTAAGAACCTACCGAACGTCAGCCAAATTATCAAAATATCTTAATATGATAACCGAGACAATCTCTTTCTTCAAAAGATATTCACGTTCTTGTCAGAACTATAACCATAAAAGAATTATAGAGGTTCTTTTAAGAAATAACACATCTCTCATTCCTTATAAGTTTTCCTGGCTCATCTACCTCACCATGCAAACCTATTGAAATATGTTAAATGGGTACCCGGTAGAATGTGAGTTTGCTCAGCATTGAAAGTGTCTGTAAAATGATGCCTGGCTGGAATGCTCCCCAGGGAGTGGAGAATGTGATACTTTGTGTGCTGGCAAGCCTGAACCCGATGACCGGGCTAATAATATATCTGTAAAGCACTTGGAGACATTGTTGGTGTATTAAGCGCTATATAAAAGCGGAATATTATTATTATTATTATAAAGAACATTGAGATCTTACCAGATCAACCATGACAAAGTCATCACTATCAGACGGCAAGCTTGATTTGTTAGAGTGCTGTGATAGATCCAAGCCTGTCCAGTCTGGTTGGTCTGCACCCTCTTGAGCACTCGGTTGCTATTTAATCAAAGGAGAACAAAAATTATTGCGTGATTGTAAATCCAAGAAAGATTGTAGAGCACATAAAGAATTGGTTTTCATAAACTAAATGAAAATTTCATTTACATCATCATCCTTTTTTTAAAAATAAATTTTTAAAATAATTATTATTATTATTGTCATTATTACTATTATAATTACCATCATCATCGTCATCATCACCATCATCATCATCATCATTAATATTATTATCATCATTATTATTATCACTATTCATATCACTAGTAGGTCTATACTAGTAGTAGTAGCAGCAGAAGTAGTATTTTCATAATTATTATTGTTGTTGTTGTTGTTTGAATAACTAAACATTACCAATCGGATAGCATACAAACACACTCACATCTTCATTCCCTGTCACGATGAATTTATCGGCCATGCTACCCCCAACCTCTTGAAGCAAGGAGCCGAAAGGGATGTCATCAGAGATGAGACTTTCCTGAACATAAGACAATACAAAACATGCATGTGATGATTGTTAAATGTTATGTTGAAATTTAATTATTTTGTCTGCATTTATATATCTATATACATGTAAAGCACCTATAAATGTCAGAAGGCAAATTTTATGTATTTTTTACATGACAATAAATTATCTTGAATCTTGAATGCAAAACAACATCTTGATAGCAGAAATTGAGAAAGAAATGAGCTTCAATTTTGTTGGGTTTTAAGCCTGCCAAATCTAAAATGATTATTTCTGCCTGGCTATACTGCTTTTCGAGTTATTCATCAGTGATGATTAGATGGCGCTGTTTCTTTTCCTCTGGCTCGAATATTGATTCAGTGGGTACCACAGCTTCCGTTCATTTGATGGTGAGGGCAATAATTTAGGTGTCGACCATGAACAGGGGGCAAGTATTTTATTAATAATAGAGGTTAACTGTACAGTGCTAAACTATACTTTTCCTTCTCTTCCTCTCCAAAAGAGAGAGAAAGCGAATAACAACAAAATAAACTTGGGCGTTTACCCCTATATACATGTATTATACAAATAATGAATGGTTATGAGTTCAATAGTGCGAATATTTTCATGAGTTGAAAGATTAACGTTAATTCTATTCAACGAGGCGTCTATTCAACGAGGCGTCAGCCGAGTTGAATAGAATTAACGTTAATCTTTCAACGAATGAAAATATACGCACCATTGAACGAATGAAAAACATTCATTATTTGTTTTATACAACATCGAAGAAGATCTAATAGAACGTTAATCAACAAATTATGCTTTACTCCTTATATCAAAGATAAATTAAAGTTGGAGTCAAGCCTTCTCGATTACATTCAGATTGCCTTCGCGTCAGATACATGCAGGGATACGCACGCGCACGGCTGAGAGGTACGCAGTCTGCATATAACCAAAAATGCATGGCGCATATAACCAAAAATGCACGACCGACAATCCTCCAATCAAATGACAAGGATCCACGTAGGTGTTGTATAAAATTCTATAATGATTGGTATCTATCTGTGGCTTTTATGAAAGCCAACATAGTTTGCAGATGATCTGCAAACTATGTTTGCAGATTCTTTAATTTCTTTAATCTCTGATCAGGAGATAATTTTGCATCTTTTATCAGTCGCCACCCTTTGTGAATGTTCATGGCTCCCCTATCAGACTCGTCCCAAAAACCTACCCGTGGCGAGCTTTGCCTTATTGAACATCTTTCGGCACCTCACGGTTCCTCGGTCAATCAATTCATTAATTCAGATCATGTGCCATATACTTGGTTAGATGAGGCTGTTATTCTTGTTTTTACAATAGGACGTGAGGCACTAATGGGGAAGGCGGATTTCAAATCTGCGTTTCAATTGCAGTTAGAAAGTACAAGTCAAACTCACCGAGCCTGCTACATTCTTTGGACTTGCAAAGGGTCCAAGCCTCCCCGGTAAGTCAAAGCCACCTGGTGTAGATGAACTGTAGAAAGAGAAGGACATACACAAACAAATAAAAAGGGGGTTAGAATGCAGGCATAAGACTGAGAAAATCTAGAAAAAGAGGAACCCTGTGCAGGGGGTTCTGGGAGCAACACTCTTTGGCAAATAGGAACTCAAATTGTGAGCTCAGGGGGGGGGGGGGGGGGGGGGGTCATAAAAATGTGCGTAAAGTTACGAATAACTTTACAAATGATTTGAATATGAAGAGCCAAATGGGATGCCTAAAGTTTTCCTGATATTTTAACAAAGTGTGACTGTATTTCCCATAATCTCAATTAAATTGTAGCCAAATATACATTTTGTATTAAAGTGTTTTTATTTATAATGATGAGGTTAATCATCAGCATATTTCAACTTATTTGCAATTAAAAGGATTTGAGCATCCCATTCAGCTCTTCATATTCAATTCATTCGTAAAATCATGCGTAACTTTACACACAGCTTTATGAAACACCCCCCCATGACTTTTGCCTCAAATTTGATAAACATATTGATTTAAAACAACTTCTCACACAAAAATATTTTAAATATTTAAATATTTCTTGCATACATGTATCATTTGATATTTTCTTCAGAAATATTAGAAATTTAATTTTGGATCTCTTTGAAGTACAGAATGCATGGAAGAGGTCCTTAAATAGTACATCACTGAGTTGCCACATTTGATCTAATACTAATGGATTGATTACGTTACCTAGGTGGTTTGGTCAGTCTGTCTTCTGATGCACCCCTCCCCCTGACAGGGCTAGGCGTGGCCTGATCTCCTCTGGATGGGAAGGCATAGTTATCAGGAGGAGAGGTCGAGAAGGAGCCGACAATGTAATCCTGTGAACTATCAAGGGTTGTGTTGGAGTCTTCAATACTACAAAAGAAGAAAGATAGTGAATAGAAAATAACAGTGAATTAGCCCTCAAATGCCTAAAAGAGCCCCCGAAAATCAGAAAAGAGCTCCTGTAAATTTGCATAGAGTATAATGCAAAAAATTTGTTAGAATGTTATTTTCATGCAGGCAAGCTTGAAAAGTAGCCCCCGAAAAATAAATATATTTTTTTTCTCTGGAAATTAATGCCTGATAAATGACTTCAAAGAAGATCACCGTAATCATCATCACTACAAGCAAGAACTAATGCCAATACTACTGCAGCCAAGAGTAATCTCAATTGAAATGATTTTGTATTACCATCATCACAATCATCTTCACACCCATTATCATCATCATCATCATCATCATCATCATCATCACCACCACCATCACCACCACCACCACCACCACCACCACCACCATCATCATCATCATCATCATCATCATCACCACCACCACCACCACCACCACCACCACCACCACCACCACCACCACCACCACCATCATCATCACCACCACCACCACCACCACCACCACCACCATCACCACCACCACCACCACCACCACCACCACCACCACCACCACCACCACCACCACCACCACCACCACCACCATCACCACCACCACCACCACCACCACCACCACCACCACCACCATCATCATCATCATCATCATCATCATCATGGTCATACACCACTACCACCACTACCATCACCACCATCATCACTTTCACTTACATCACCATCACAACCAGCATTACTATAACCTCAGAGAAATTCAATTAGAAGTGATTTTTTATCTCACCCGATACTTGGTTTGGTTCCTACGGGCAAACCAGGTCCTGGACCTTTATGAGATGGACTGGTACTATAATGATCCTCCTTCAGGGGGACAGGTGCTCTCACCCTCGAGATGTGTCTGCAATTCAAGGAAATCTTGGTCTTACTATGGTCTTTGAAGGGGAAGTCCTCACTCAAATCAAATTTGTAATTTATGTTCTAACCCTGTCAAATTGATATGTCATTTGGTTACAGAGATATTAAAGATATTGCAAAATTCACAAAATGGTGACTAGATGACATCACATTATGAATATAACCTTGACATTTTGTGTGTGTCTTGTATTTAATAGGGTCTACCATTGCGCCAACTCTGAAAGAAAATGCAATCGCCATTCTTGAGATATCTGTTCCACAGACAAATGTACAGATATAAAGAAAAAAAATGTTAACATATATAAGAAGTGATATGTACAATTTATTAGTTCATACGGTGAATTGCCATTGAGTATACAACCAGTCCATCTACTAACCAATTAGTCTATTCCTGTATAGTCTATATGAGGATGGTTATCATTAATGACTAAATGATTATTACATCATATAGATAGTAGAGAAATCAAGCATTGGACAAACTGGGAATTAGACCAACGAGAAATTAGACTAAATGAGCGATAGCCCAAGACTTATTGGAGATTAGACCAAATAACTTTTAACCTAAACGATCACTAAACCAAATGATAAGTAGACAAAATGATTATGAGACCATGTGGATAATAGACAGGCTTTGTGTAGACCATATGGGAATAGACCAATCAGGTATTACACGAACTGGTTGTAGACCAAACTTATACCACCTAAATCTAATGACTATTTTCTCACCTGGATGTTGATATAGTAAGTTTTGTCCTGTAAGCAACGTTTAGTATGACGGTACCGACAGGAGTGGGGACGCTACCAACTTGCACTGAGCTGAAGTCTTCACATGGAAAACAAATAGACAAAGAAATTTTGTTTTATTTTTAATTTTTTTTTTTGTTTCACTATGGTTATTTCTTCAGAGTGTCTGTAGAACACAAACAAAATATATATTGTAACGAAATTTGATTACAAGTGTTTAATTCAGACTGCTCTCGTTCAGTTCTCGCTCAATATCTCTCTCACTCGAGCTCATGCGTGTATGCAATATAAATTCAACAGAAGAAATGGAGTATTCGTGAGTTTCAGTTCCATTCGATGTTTATTACTTCAAATAATGACCACTTGGTATACAGTCAGGTTCAGTGAATTACGAAAACGGCAGAAAGGAGTACGAGGAGAAGTCTCAAGAAGTCCGTCAGAAGTCTCTCGATTTTAGAATCCCTGGCTTTATATAGGGAGCTGTTTTGTAGCAGCAAGGACACAACCCGACCTCGAGCTAAAGGGCAGAGTCTGTCCTCAAACTGAGGACAAAGTCTGGCCTCCGCTCGGGGTCAGTCGGAGGCCGCACGCGACTGAGTATCTGTCCTTGCCGTTACGTAAGACGAGGACAGATTCTCTAGACGAGCGTGGCCCTGGGCTTACGCAATCGAACTGCAAGAATTACTCGAGGACGAAAAACAACGTCGTAAATCTACCGAAGGACAAGTTTGACTTGCACAGCAAGCAATAATATTATAGCGAAATAATAATGAACTGAGCACATGATACAGACATATCTAAATTCGTAACAATATACATACATATACACATCAAATCAAGTTAAATAGAGGGACAATGATACAAATATACTGCATTTATACAGATTTTAAAAAATGAGAACAATGTTACTAAATGGAATAATAAAGTAAACAGCTTAATTAATGTAAAATTGGGAAAACTGTATTACCTAAACATCCAAATTTCATTAGGATTATTCTATTCAATGAGATAGTTGAGTATTTGTCATGTAATAGGGTATATATTGCTATGTTCATCATCTGTTTGGAGCTAGAAGGGCAGCTTTTAATTCATATTATCCAACACAAGAGTTAATGCACTTCTATACATGAATGATGCAGAGCTGCCAACCTTGTGCAAACAGAAAAAGGAACCATAATGGCAAAAAATCATAAATCTTCACAAATCTCTATTTAATTTTTCTATTGAAGTCTATCTATCTATCTCAGTATCTTCTCCCAGTTCGGAGGTTGATTGCAACATCTCTCCATTTCACTCTATCTTCTGCCATTCTGGTGCACTCTTGAAATTTTAGTCCACTCCAGTTCTTGATATTCTCTTCCCGGTTGATTCTGGGTCTCCTTCTAGGTCTACTCCCTTCCACTCTTCCATCCAATACATCCTAGAGGCTTTGGTGCCTTTTAATGTGACCAAAGTATTTGATTTTTCTCTCCTTAACTAATCCTACTAGTGCAATTTGTTTACGCCCTGCCATGTGCAATATCTCTTTGTTGATTTTCATTTGTTTCCAGGATATTTTCATCATTCTTCTGTAGATCCATTGAAGTAGTGATCAACATTTTAGGGCACTTGGTTGACGTGCGGAATGGGCCAAAAAACGAAAATAGAAAAAGTACTACTGTAATTTTCAGGAAAAAAACAGATTAATTCCAGGAAAAACGCAATGGTTGGCAGCTCTGTTGATGCCCTCTGCGCTTACCTTCTCCAAGCAAAGAGAGCTTGGTCTCTCCAAAGAAGACCCTTGACAGTATCCTGTAGTCTCCTGTACCCTGTCTTCTAGCTATCCTGTATGCTGGTGTCACTCTGGACACACAGATGAGAGACTTGAGCAGGAGACCCATACGGTTATACACCGTGTAGTGGACCTTGGTGTTAGGGTCAACGGTATCGTTAACAGCCAGGCTCCACGACTCCAGAACCATCTTATCTCCCTGCAGGAAATAATTGAGGACAAAGAATCAGAAATAATTTCATGTTTACACCGGAAAATAGATATCTTGCCTACGCTACTGTGATCTAAATATACAGTTAACAAGTAAATTATTCATACCCAGATTTGCCAAACTGAAGAACAGAAAATCAGTAAGCACAAGGCTCAAAATCAGTAATTTCCTATGCGGCGATGTGAGTCTTAACAAAATGGCATGCCAACACTGCGCGGATGAAATTCTTGGTGATTTTACTCACACAAAGTTGCTAAATATTGATTTTCAGGTAATCACAAGACATCAGTTTTCCATGAAATTTGTTTCCGTCTTTCGCAGCGAGTGTTGGATGGCCGCCATACTGCACAGCACTCGCTTCGATATATCATATTTCACCAAAATACAAAAGATTGTAAGGGTATGAATAATTTAGTTCTTAACTGCATATGCTCTGAAAACACTTTATATGTTTTTTTTTTATTTTATCACAGCTACAGGGTTGAGGGTAGGTATGGAGTTGGGTCCAGGGAAGACTTTAATAATGAGATTTTACAGTGTGTGTTCATATAATTTGTGCTGCAGAGCATAACTATGTACACACACACATTAAAGACCATCAATACTACTGGGCCAGAAGGGATTAGACCACACAGCAAGGTCACTGACAGGTGGCTATCTCATTAACTCAGCTCTCAACTAACATACGAAAAAGAGGATCACGGGGGACCAACAGGCACCGATTGTGGAAGTTTTCTATATAGGGGGAGCAAGTAGCCAGGGCTTTAAAGTTTTGAGATACAATGACACCTGTCTATAAAGACCCCTCAAGGGAAACATGAATAGTGGTCTATATATGCAGGTGGTCTTTCTGTACAGGCTCCTGGCTTTAGCACAAGTTTCAATGAGAAACCATATTCAAGGGGGGGGGGGGGAATGGTCTTTCTATACAGAGGTAGTCAGAAGAATTGTCCCACTTTTTAAAAGTTGTATTGTCTGAAGTATGAATATTCAATCATGGGTTTCATGATATGTCTTGATAAAGTTATCCTCCCAGTACAATCTCTGCATGCATGACTGAACATCAGACAATCTTTACAAGACTGCCAGATCTCACTTGCGCCAAGTTACTGGGTGAGGGACATTTTTAAAAGTGGGACATTTTTTCTGACTCACTCTGTACAGGTGGTTGCTAAAGAAGTTTGACTGTACAATGGAGCTTACCTCTGCTGTTTCCAGAGTGATCTCTACATTGAGAGGGTAGCCCGCCCTCGGTATGTCCGTCATGAGAAGTTTCTTGGCATGTGACTTGACTGTGGCCTTCTCCGGAATGGCAAGATTGAACTGAAATTGGAAAAAAATAGTGACATAAATACAACAGTTCTGGCTTTAGAATGCTCTCCTATAGGGTATATGCTACATACAGATTTGATTTGATTCTTCATTGAATCACTATCTGGATCCCAAGGAAACCGCATTTTGTTGAAAGGGAATTCCACTACATATCAGTAGAATTCTCTTTTTTTAAAATGGGGACAACAAGTTATGCATAGGAATTCTGAGAATATTATAAATGAAATCTCTAGGAAGTTAAACATATAGCGTCTCTTCAAAGCCAGAACGATATAACTCATTTAGTTTTACACAAGTAACGTCATTCCGGCTCCAAACACTAAACAGACGATATAATTTTAAATGAAGATTTACAAGTACTACATATCACAATATGAGGTTTATCAATCATGATACAAAACATTTTGCTTGCCCCAGCTCAGCGCAACTATCCTTATGGATACGTGCTGGGGAGTGAATAGCAGAGAGACGCTGAAATCCTTCATATCAGTTTTCAAGGTCTGTTTTGGGGGAGTGATTATGTATAAGATATATTACTTACCCAGTCTGTACCATCGGTATTAGATTTAGATCTTGTATTTGTTTTCTCTCCTGTCCTTGATTGTACAATCACCTGTATTGCCTGAAAAATTTACAAAGATAGGATAATCCAATTCAATGTATCTGCTTGCCTAGTACATTGTATGGAAACCAAGTTGCTACAGTATAGAAGTGCACTATATAATTACCTAAAATTACAAATTATTTTTTTTTTTTTTAAATTGTGTACAAATAGATTGTTATAAAATCATCCAAAATAACAATGCATTCTGTGAGCTAATACATGTAGATGAGAAGTTTGAAGAAAAGAAAGAAAGACTGCACACACAGAACCCAAGTCGGAGTAGGGTTTCATGTGAGCCCTGTTTCATGTGGGCGCATTGTACAGATGCAATGAGTAGTCTACTCACATGACGCTTTAATACTAATTGAGAGTGTATTAAAACTTTCAATATACTCTTTTCAAAAGAAATATTTCAAGATCCTATTTTGAATATAGTAGTAGCATTATGAAACTACTAACATACAAAACAAAATATTTGTTGGTAATTGGTACACTTTAAGTCTATGGAAATGGGATTCTATTGCTAATCAGCACATGATAGTGCACATGCTCCACTCCCTGGGGAGTACCGATAATAAACTCACCTTCAAAGCAAGAAACTTGGTGAATTTCCTGAGATCTCTCTCTTCTTTCTCTGTGATTCCATGAGACGGCTGCTGTCCATCCATCGCTCGCCCCATCATCCCTGATCATGTAAGTAGTGATGATTGCCAATGTTCAGTACTTTCAATCTCCACACTGCTCTGTTGATCACCTTGATTCTTTTTTTCTTCTGAGAGATAAAGCAAGAAGGAAAAAGAGAGAAATAAAAATACAACCCACCATCGATATAGTATTGTGCAGCGGTTTGCCATGAAACCTGTGAAAAAGTGTCTATACTAATATCAACATTATCCGAAAAAATACTCCAAAAATAACAAGAAAGTTGACACGAAACAGGTAATAAACATAACGACCTTTAACTCATGATCTTTATTTGGACATTTAATGAATATTTACTTCATTTTGGGTATGTTTTAGTAGGGTATCTCAAATCCGGAGTTACGGGTCAAATTTTGGATAGGTTTTTGAACAAGCGCCGAGTACAGGAGGGAGTTTTCGGCCGGTGGCAGTTTTCGGCCGGTCTGTTGGATGCATGGTAAAATCCCATTAAAATACATTGCATAATACTGGCACATGCACATCACATATCCAGGGCTGTCAACCCTCTCGCATTTGGAGGGAGTCTCACGCCACCACGCTCATTCTCCCGCCGGCCCACCAGCACATAGCGATAGCGGGAGCTCAGAGACTCCCGCCACAACGCTCTTCCTCCCGTTCTCCCGGTTTATGAAAAACCCTCCCGCCAAACGTGAAGTCTAAAATGAAAAGTTTAAAACACCCCTCTTGCAAAACTTGCCACTGCTATCATCCGAATTGGTACGCTGGTTCGTCTGAAGAAAAAATCCCTCCAAATGAAAGCTCCCCAATTATGCAAAGTTGACAGCCTTGCAAATACAATCTGCATATCATTATCACACACATAGACTAACTGTTAGATCTAAAAGTTAGAACTCTAAAGTTAGCCTAGACAATAACCAACATGCCAGAGAGCTCGAGAGTGCAGACTCACTGGAGAACCACATTTGCAATTTGCAACTCACCGGTTTAATGGCCTTCCTTAGGCTATGGTACAACATGCACAACTAGAATTGGCAAAATGGTCGTCACTTATCGTGTTTTGTCAGAACTTCTAGTTCATTGCAATGGAGCTTGCGTGTACACATTATCATCTTCTGATCATGTTATGTTATTGTTTACAGTCGAGCCGAGTCGAGTCGAGTACGAATCGAGTCGAGTAGTGTACTCACACGTCATTCCAGCGTAGCAGCACGGCCGACCGTTTATTCGAGCCATGAACCGAGCCAACTCGGCCCAATCAATGTTCTTTTTGCCTTTTTAAAAACTCTTATGATTATTTATCTGGTTCTGTTTTAAAAAGTGTCGGATCCAGACACATTTGCTGTAGGTTTTAGAGAAAGTCTTGAGTAAACTAGACCAAACACTGTGACAATTAGATGGGTGTGCATTTATTTCACAACTTCACCCTATCCTTCAAGAATTTGGGCTTGAATATATGTATTGAGAAAAGTTATTATGCGTTACTCAACAATGTCTGTCTACTCTTTTTTTTCCCTCCTCCTCCACCTTCTTCTTTTAATTCTTTACTTCTCCTTCTCCATCTTCTTCTCTTGCTTTTCCTCCTCCTTCTTTTATCCTCCTCATTTTCTACTTCTTTTTTCTTCTTCTCCTTTTCTCCTCTTAATCCTTTCTCCTCCTGGGGGTGAGTGAGGCTCCTCCCTCCTCCTCTGTCACCTCCTTCTCTTTCATATTCTTCCAATCTCTCTCTCTCATCTTTTTCCTTCTTCTTCCTCTTCCTCTTTATCTTCTCCTTGCCCTCCCTCTCCTTTTTTCCCTTCTTAACAGTTTTTTGTTTTCCGAGATTTTTCAGCTTTGTACCCACCCCTTCCATCGATCATTCTCCACGAGACTACAACATCACTTACATAGACTACCATTAGATTCACAAATAACACACAAATGGTAAACAAATAATTATGAAAGCTTTATTTCTATCTTATATACAAATAATAACAAAATGCATATATGCATAAAACCTAAAAAATTGAGCCCTGTTTGATGGTATACCCAGCACATGTTGCTTGCTCATTTCTTGTCATTTTTATCATTTAATTGAAATCAATGTGAAATGCCCATAATTCAGCCACAAATAGATTTGCAAATGTGTATAGCTCATTGCAAGGGCGTAGCCAGGATTTTCTAAGGGGGGGGGGGGGAGTGTTTTTTTGCAAATCAGCCAGCCAGTGAATAAGGGGGGGGGGGAGGGGGGTATGTAGAACCGAGATAAACAGCCAGCCAGTGAATAAGGGGGGGGGGGGGTAAGGAGCACTTTTTGTTAACACCAACATCCCTGTTTGCCAGGGGGGGGGGGGGGGGTGTTTGAACACCCAAAACATCAATGGTTCATGGACACTTCAATCAAATATGACTTCAATGCATTATTACATCTTCAGAGTAAGTAGAACCGAGATAAACAGAATAAATCTTTCTAAAGGACTTTTAACCTTTGCAGACAAAGTGTATATCTTATATTCCCATTATACTATCTTCAATAAGTCACTTGCCATTCATGTATAGTCTATGCAAAAATGAGGGTTCTCTAGAATTGACTGACAGATTTACATGTATTTAGAAATACCATGACAATGTATGATGGAGTGTCCGAAGTTCATGCACAAAAATTAGGAGTCATATTTGATCCATGAATTCTCATATTGTACACAAATATATATATATATATATATATATAAAAAGAGAGAGAGAGATAGATCAAAAACAATCAAATGGACAGTGAAATATCTAGACTACAAATGGGTGCTACTAGAACATTTATCTTCACAGAATTCTGTAGATATCGCGATCTCAAAGTTAGATGTCAGATCAGAATGGCTATAACTGAATAAAAGGACTTAAAAACAACAAGTCCAGAGTCTACAGCTGATTTTTTTTTTAATTGGGTAATTAATATTATTTGCATGAATTGGAAGGCAGTTGGTATCACTTTTACTCACAATCTAGATGACATCTTCTTTAAAAGTGAAGATTTCAAGACCCTTGTCGCTATGTTTATATTTTATTCAGGACAGACGTAAAAGACTGCAAAAGTTGCTGAACTTTTGTTGATACATGTATTTATATACTTTCTCATCCAATTTCAAAGGTAATGTTGTTACTTTGTAATTTTAGGTCCCTCTTTCCATTGGTAGTATCAAATTTTGGAAATCTTACCAAATTTGTTTGAGGTATGGAACTGAGTTTGAACTTAGGTTACGTGCAAACTATGGTCGCATCATAAGGCCAGGTTCATATGTAGTTATTGTCCATTTAACAATGGACATTTGTGGTATTTACATGGTATATGGATACACATATAAACACATGCATTCGTACAAAAAGACAAATTCAATAAAATCATTTTGAGTTGACAGAATACAAAAACAAAAACAATCAAACATAGATAGTCATTCTTCAAAAATGGTATATACATGTATGTAGACAAAGTGAGGTGGAAAGACCATAAGTTTTTACAGGTATCAATAATATATTGTAAATTATAATTGTTATTAGTTTACAACAATTATGATATATCAATATATGTTTGATACCTGTAAAAACTATAACATATTAATAGATAAATATTTATCTGTACATATTTACAATTGCAGGCAATAAATGCATGGTAATAGCTAAGACGTTTTTTTGTACAACAGCTCAAATATCACACCTTATACATTTTCATCAAATACACTGGATTCACCTAATGTAGTACTTTCATCCCTGACCAGGTGTGTTTACATATATACAAGGCATGTTTATACACAGACTCTACAACGTTTCTCTATTGCATAAATACATATCTTGTAATAGATTTTCAAGTTTTGTTCACACTTCACAAGCATGTTTTACCCCAACATTCCATGCAATGTTCCTCCATCTCATATCTTTTTTTTTAATTGCTAGATTCCAGACTTCATTCACTCACAGCAAGCTACTTCGACCATGCAGTATTCCTCAATCTACTTTGGAGGTGTCCTGGTACAGTGGTTCATCCATGTGACTCTCAATCAAAGGGTTGAGGGCTCAAATCCCAGCCCAGTTTATTCAGCATCGGAAGAGTCTGTAAAATACTGCCTACCGGTAGCTGGAATGCTCCCCAAGGAGTGGAGAATAAGCATAAATTGTGTGTGGACAAGCCTGAATCCGATGATCCGGGTGATGATATATCCAATCTGTAAAATGCTTAGAGACGTAAAATACCACTATATAAACCTGGATTATATTTTCTAGCGGAATAGTTCCAATTATGTTACATTTCCAGGGTATGTTCACACAAGTTCTACATGTGATGTTTCTTGCAACGTTCCTCAGTCTCAAAGAGTCCCAGATTCAGCAATGTTCCACTAGTGCATATGGCACAGACAATGAAGATCTTGATACATCCCTAGGATTTGTTCACAAGCATGGTGCTATACTTTGGCATGAGACCAATCTTGCTAATACGATATACTTCAATGTTACCCAGCATGCTCCTGTACAATTGTAGACGATACTAGGGTTTGTTCTCACATTGGGCTACACTTTGCCATGCAGTGGTTTAATGCGTGCAAACTTTGAGAGTCCAAGGCGAATAGGAACACCTGAAGAGGCCAGCTTGACACCACCCAAAGGATTGTTTCCTGATGCTGCACGTATGACAGAAAAAGAAGAATTAAAATCATCATCAACATGTCTCACATATCTCGTAACTTCAAAGAAATTTAGGTAGATTGGTCACAAAGGGCAAAGTATGATTCCCTTCCTCACAAATAGAAAGATGGCTGATTTTTACTTAGTATTTGGCTTAGATAAATACTTAGCCAATTTTGGTATTCAATTCAAAATTTTGGCTAAGTATTTTACCCTAAATCTAAGACAGCTCCCTGGCAAGCGTATGGTTTTCTTACACAGTATCATAACATGCGCAGAATTATATTAGCGCGCATTTATTGCGACGCGTTGATTGGGCATTACTTTTGATTGACTGTGTGATGTCACAATGCTTATCAGTAAAGTATTTTACTTAGATTTTGTCTCAGGTAAGTAAAAGTCTAAAATGAGATATGAATACGAGATAAGTAAACTTCTTAGCTTAGCCATTTACTTAGTAAATTTCTTACTTATTCTAAGTATTGAATTGAATACCGGCCCAGGGCAGGACTATAAAATGAATTATTTGAATGCATCATTTATTATCTCACCTGCTGAGGGACTAGGTGCAGGTCTCTTCAAGGCTACCGTCCTGGGTGACGTCAGGGCAACATTACATTTGCTCTTGGGCGTCGACGATACCAGAGGCTTTGAGGGAGGGGCGGACCTCTTCAATGACCCTCCTCTGACGGTACTAGGGGTATGTTTGGCAGGTGCAGAGGCAGTGGTAGGGGTGCGTTTAGCAGGCGCAGGGGTCTTCTTGACTGGTGGTGACTTCTGAACCTTTGACTTCCGTGCGGGTGATTTCTTCACCGGTGATTCCTTGACCGGTGACTTTTGAACCGTTGGCTTACGCGCGGGTGATTCCTTCACCGGTGATTCTTTAAGTGGCGAACCCTTGACTGGCGAACTCTGGACAGGTGGTGATGTCATAGACTCTGGTTCTTCATAAAGGAAGTCAGGCGTTGGTAACTCCTCTGAATCAGCTTCTAAAGAGAAATCCAGACATATAAGGTGAGTTGGATCATTCAGTAATATCTGCGGGTTGAACCAAAGACCATGACTACCAATCCAACTCAGACGGATGACTGAAGCTTTCATTGCGTTGATATGCCCCTCCCGATTCATTGATGCAGGCTAGGTTAATAAATTAGGGAAAAACTCTGTCCCTTAGAGGAAAGAAAGTCACCACCTTTGCATGTTCTACACCCACTACACTTTGTATACCTGCCAACCTTTCATTTAAATTAGGAATCTCTCAAGGCAAAATTAGGAGTTGTCTATTTATTAAAATTAATCTGAAATTAATCTGATTCTGAATTTTAAATACACAGAATATTACAGAAAAAGAGAGGAAGCTAGGGTTTAGTAGTACCTGTTGGCTGTAGTGGAGCTGAATGTACAACTGCATTGACTTCCTTAGCTCTCCTCTTGGGGGCGCTATTCATCTCATCGTTTGTATCTTGACTGGATTCATGTTTGGACATCTCTAGAGCTAACTCTAGCTCTCGATCAAACATTCGGTCTTCTACTGGCTTTCTATAAAGGGGAAAAAAACAAAATAAAGATGATGATTTAAAGTTAAACACAAAATCTCTACCCAATGGAAAAAGGAAGCAAGTAAAAACGTGTTATAATCAACCGATAAAAGTGGCATTCCATCTAATATTTACTCTTACCACATTGGTAATTGCCCGTTAATCAGGAAGAGGTAAGAAAAATAAGGCAAGGAAAACGAAAAAGATTTCTTGATTTCTTGCCTAATGGGGGTACAAAATTTATTTGAACAAATTTCATCTTTGTTTTATGGTGTAAATAGATATTTAGGATAAATATGAAAAGGGGGTCTAACAAAAGAACTAACCTGTCTTTTCTTTTCCCTCTGGGCGTTTCTTTAAATTCATCATAATCATCATCCATATCACTGGAACTTCTCTTCTTCTTCGTCTTCTTTGTTCTCGCCTTCTCTTCTTTGAGTTTCTTGGCTGGTGGTGGGGTCGGCCCGGTGAAATCCCCTGGTAACATGAACAGTGAATAAGAAGTGAAAAGTCAAGAGAAGCTAAAAGATAAACTTGAGTTCTGGTAATTTAAAAAAAAATGAATTCTCACAGAATCAAACAAAACTTAGACTGAATGACAAATACCGTAAATGTCATTTGCCAAACAATTTTGGTAGAAAATGTATACTGGCTAAGTAATGAGCATAGAAAGATAAGAAAATCAAGGTAAGTAGTCCGACACCATTTGTGTAGTCCCATATACATCTTGCTGTGTACAGTGCTTGTTACTTTACCAAGACTGGGCCAAATTTATTATGGTTTTGATGACTCCAGAACCTTGCAGTACACACCAATACTTACATGCTACATGATCAACTTTTTCTGATCCATATTCCACACCTTTTCTTTCACAATTAATGCAATCGCATGACCAGAACTCAACCTTATCTTTAAAGGGAAGTTTCATTCAAACCTACATTTATTTAAACATTTTTAAAAAATGTCTGTAAATCTTCATGTTTTTCCCATGTCATATGTGAAAGAGCATAGAAACACCTACTGAATTTAAACTTTTGAAAAGCCAATCTTTTCTAAATGCAGCATTAAGGAGAGCATTTTTAAAAATTGGCCAGATGTCCTTCATGATGTATTCATCCTAAAAAAATATATTGCCTGCGAGGTGCCTTGTCCGTTTCAGGTATTGACAATCAAGGCTTTCCATCAACTTCTATCTCTGGCTCTTTGTAATGTGATGTTACTTCTATTACCAGTCAGTGCCGTCTCCCTCTGTTTCTCTTTCCCTCAATTTGACCTGTCAGTATCCTGATTTTTGCACCTGCTCTACTCATAATAAATATTCCAAACAAATTGAAATTATCTTTTCCTTCTGAGGTTAACGTTAACAAATGTACCGTATATTGAGTGCAAAAAAATTGTAAAGTAATACAAAATAACCTTTCACCAAAAGACACCAATATATATTTAAAACACCAATCATCCAAAAACCACTGCCAGACTCACTTAAATCCTTTCTCCTAAATCTCCAACATAATATTAGCAGAGCCTTAAATATCAATACAAATGTCCCAGAAGATGTCCAGTGCAGGTCTGTCTGTCTTTTATTGTAGGTTGCTTTGCAGAGCATCATACTGAACATTTTTAAGTAAAGTATATTCAAATTAAATGCATCACGAACCAATAGCAAAATAGGATTTAGGAGTATGACAGAATATTCAAAAGGAAACGGAAAAGAGAACCAATGATAAGTAAGAAGCGGAAATACCTAATGCATTCACACAAGACCATGAATAGAGAATGAGAAGAGAACAAAGGAACATATCAGGTGAGATGGAAGACTTGGTATGTAGAGGAGATGAATGGAGGAAGGGTTGAGTAATTGAAGTAATTATGTAAGTGCTAAGCAAATGATGTGACATGAATATGTATAGAGAAGAGACTAGAGAAACAAATAGTAATTGAAATAAATACAAGTATTGGAAAAGTCTAATTTCAACTCTTACACATGTATCTGATTTACATCAGTTTATCATTTATTTTTTGTATAAAATGTTATCAAGGCACATCGTACATGTCGCAGAGATTAGTATGGTTCTCCTGCAATATGATTTTCAACAATGATGACTTTTGTATCCCAAGAGTGTCTTCTCATACCAGGGAATAATTTTCCTCAAATTTTTTGATTAGCAATTTCAGCCGATGGATAAATATTTCAAATGAAATTCTGTACATTTCTATGGAAGAAAACTGCTACACAAAAGATATTTTGTATAGCAGTCATGCAAAAATGCATAGCAAATTGCGATGCGATACCAGGAAAATTATTCCCTGCATACCATTTAAATCTTCTCCAGACCTACCTTACATTGAATCATTTTAAATCAACTTACCATCATCACTGTCCCCTCCTCCACTATAAGTAGAATAATCCACTTCTTTCCTGGCTCTAGACATAAAAAAGCGTAGTAATTTTTAAAATGTTATCATTCTTCAGTCTCCAGTTTACAAATGGGCAAGTATTCATAAAGGCAAACTAAATAATAAATTACACCTGCTTTATTTCATTTTAATAGAGTCTATGGACGCTCGTAATTTGAATATTTTGTCACCTTTTACTTTTTTTTGTAACACTTTGTGCTATTCTGCAATCGCAGCCAGTATCAACACTGATCAAAGGTTCTTTGTTGGCAAATATGCTATTGAGTATTGATCATTGACATTTGCTTACATAAGAAAATATAAATCAAGTTTCATTTAATTTCAAATTCAAATGTTTCCATTTTTCTTTATATCTTTATGAGGGACCCCCTAAAAGTTCACTAATTCACCACTCATGAGATAAAACAAGTATTCATTGACTGACAAAGACATCACATGATCACTTACGTGTAGACTCTAGTCTAGGTCTAAACCTTTTATTAATCAATTCAATTCTTGACTGATTTCAAACTCAAAGTCAAAGTGCTTTTGTACGAGAAGGAAGAGTACCGACACGCGAACTCCAAAGCCAGTACGCAATGCCAATGACAATGCATTGCATACTGCAAGAGAAAGTTAAACTATTAACTTAACTTCATAAGTTAAAGAGAGTTACGGTAAACCTGGCCCGGTAAACTTTTAAAAGAGCGCAAACATTGCATTTGCAATGTTTGTCGAGGGCCGGAATTCCTGGAAAGAAAGGGTGATAACGACGGGTTCACAAAAGCATTTTAGGTTTTATTTACCTGCCTCTTCGTGCAGGAGTATGGGTGCCAATTAAGGCTAGGTGATATCAATATCATATTTCATATTTTCATCAAGTTTAAGGCGTTAAGCTTTGTTATGCTACTTACCATACTTTGCTAGGTTTAATGGCCGACAAGTATTGCTACGTGTGGGACTGTGGTTAGTTTTCTTACCTGGATGATCTGCGACTGTCGGCCATTTCAGCGATAATTCCTCCTGAAATCCTATCTCATTCACGGAAATTCTACAGAAGTTTAAACTGGAATAGCTTCTGTTGTAATGTAAAGGTTTACTATGACCTTTGTAGTCGAAATATCCAAGTTATTTTACGATGTTATCGAATCTTGTTGAATTCCCCGCGTAACGGATGGTATCTGAAAACATCAAATATAAACGGAAATAATCTTGGTTTACACTATCTAGTCTAAGGTTTACACAGAGCACGGGCACGATTTCGATGCCGCGCCGCCGAACAGTGAACTTTCCAGAGAAATTTTAATTACAAGCAAGAAGTAAAATAGTTTTTAAAAGTTTATTAAAAAAGGCAAGGTAAGCCTATGGAAATTAATAGTAGCACCCGTCTGTAAAATTAATGATGCCAGGTCATAGACAATAGCAGTTGAATGAACATACAAATTGCAAAGATTGAAACAAGAGCCATGAGTGCTTACATTAAAAAAAAGGAATGTTTTGTTTTGTGTGGTTTTGACTAGATGAACTTGAACTTAATTCGAACTTGTGGTTCTTTTTTTCTTTCTTTTTTGTTTTTGCTTTTGTTTCGTTAATTTGTTAGTTTTTTAATTTATGCCGATATTTTAGCTTTTAATTTTCTTGTCTGAATAATTTGGGGTGATTATAACCTTCTTTCTCGCCAAAAATGTAAAGCCCCCCCCCTCCCTCCACCTAGCTTTGGCTTTAAAAACATGTTTAAAACAAAATTATAAAACAGATCGTCTCATGGTCTATAACTGCCATGATATTTAAATCTGGACCTGTTTCATTTGTAATTTTTGACATTACTTTTCATCTATGTATTGATTTGTCATAAGTATTTGCTATCTGTATTAACTTTGCTCGCAATGAATTCTCTTAGCTACATAGTTGAAAGAAAGTTAAGAGCGCCAACATTGTTTTGATAGAAATAAAATCTTCGTTGACACGTCTGCTCAGGAATCCCTTTAGGCATAACCGGAAGATGGGCTTAATAAGAATAACTATGGTTAACTGATAACGATAATGCTAACACAACATGACCTTTTTGGTATTTTATTTGAAAAACTAGAAGAGGACTAACCATAATCGGTACTGTCCTGTTCGTGTGTGATGCCTGCTAGCCCGGCAGGTTCAGAAGTTCATAGGATTTGTTTGATCATATTTGGCGCTTAAAAATCGGATACCAGGGCCTCATTTCACAAAACTTGTTACAGTGACAAATGACAGTTTTTGTTATAAGCTTGTGAAATCCTTGCTTCTGAGTGGTTATCAGCAGATTTGGCACTGATTCTTGAAAACAGGCTATGTGAAACAGGTTCCTGCATGGAATAGTCAAATATTAGTTTTACTAAGTTGTTCATATTTTCAAATTCAAAACGAGGAATAAAAATATAAAGGAGACGACGAGAAAAACAGGAAGAAAAGTCGGAAGACGAAAGGGAAAATTAGATAGAAAAACAAATATGGATGAAGGAAACGAGAGGAGAAGTTGAAGAAGGGGGCGAAGAAGAAAAAGAAGAAGAGAGGAAGAACAACAAGTCAACTTGAAGGAAATACCCAACAGAAAGGGGTATAAAACCACAAAAAAGACGCTTCCCGTCTCTGAATCCGAAATCTATATTTCGATCACTCATTATTTGATACTCCTGACGAATCCCCCTCTTCTCTCTCTCTCTCTCTCTCTCTCTCTCTCTCTCTCTCTCTCTCTCTCTCTCTCCCTCTCTCTCTCTCCCTCTCTTAACTTTATTATCAATTTATGTTGAGGGGAGGAGCGTCGCAATACATTGTGACTTAAAAAGCGAATGTCTTTACAAAAAACATCAATACGTGCTTGATACGTAGTGACAGATTTTGGCAGATTATTAATTGAACCCTATCTCATGGTTAGGTGTCAATAATCCCCATACGAGGTGATACCTATCCCTTGTCACACGAGAATTTCACGCATGGGTATTTGTAATGGTTGAGGGATTCTCAAATAGCGGCTGAAAAGGGGTATTTTATACATATTTCAGTATTATAATACAGGTTCAATTCAAAATAAGTCATTATTAGGACGCTATATTTGGACATTTGTTTCTTCTTTTCAAAATGAATTAATAATAATAATAATAAACAATATTTATAAGGCGCTTAATACTGGTGTCTCTAAGCGCACCATATTCTGACTTACTAATTATTTACCAAAACTTATAATAAACACACAACTTATACATCTGTTCTTTATTCAATAAATCATGCATATATAATAATAAAAAATAAGATAAGAGTGAGATCAAACAAACATACATATAAGAGGTCAAACATAGGATCAAACATAGGATCGAACAAACAAAAAATAAGACGGTGTGCACCTCCTTTGACCGAATTGCGAATGTTCCTGTATAGTTGGATTTACGTCACCAGTGAATATGAATTATTTCCAGATTTATTTGTTTTTAAAAGAGCTGTTGACATTTTGGAATTGATCCAATTGGATTTAATGTTCAGCCTTCCCATTTTGATGCCCAGCCAAAGGCAAATTAATTCACAGAAGAAAGTTTTCTCTTTCTGTAACACTGTTGAAGTTTGACACATCATCCCACGGGAATAAACTGTTAATTAATGTTTGGCCGAGGACAACAAAGATGACATTATAAAGCGATGGCTGTCGACCATTTATCGTTAGTTTAATAACATTACATTGGCCTAGGTCGACCTCGCATTTGATTGGATAACAAGCCCAGTGGCGTATCCAGACCTTGGGGGGGGGGGGGGGCGGACAAAACTTGATTCGTATCAAGGAAACACGCTTAGGGGGATTCATGAATCTGGTGGCCCTTTTCCCTATGCCTGTTCGAAGTTACAATAGTTCATGTTGTATCGAGATGCCATTCTTTTTATTTTTCATAATAACGTTCTTCTTCTACTTGTATAGCGCCAGTTTAACCGGGCTCAGTCGCTTTCGGCGCCAGTGGCGGATCGAGGGGGAGGGGGGGGGGGGATGTGCTCACTACCCCCTCCCCCCCCCCACTGAGCGAATTTCCAGGAGCAAAACTAATAATAATAATTGCCCCCCCCCCTCAGAAATCCTGGATCCGCGCCTGCTTGGCGCTCCCTCAAAATATGATCCATATCTTTGTATGCACTTAAAACAATGTTAATAAGTTTTATATATTTAAAAAAAAAATGATAATAATAATATTTTATAAACAAATTGCAGCTTTCAGTCAATACTACGTTGACATCAGAATAGCTAATTCATCTCTCCTTTTGTTGAAAAAAGTGCGCATTTCCCAAAGATAGTCTCAGATCTAACCGATTGTATTACGGCTGCACTTTTTTCTTGTCGTAGGGGCAAATCCCCCCCCCCTCTCTCTCTCTCTCTCTCTCTCTCTCTCTCTCTCTCTCTCTCTCTCTCTATCTCTCTGTCTCCCCCTCTCTCACTCTGTCTCTCTGTCTCCCCCTCTCTCTCTCTCTCCCTCTCTCTCTCTCTCTCTCTCTATCTCTCTCTCTCTCTCACACATACGCCTCTGCATTGGTCACAGTGAGGAAGGACCTAGGCTATAGAGAACTCGTGACGAGGAAGCTTCGAAAGTGAGGAAGCATTATTTTGTCTTACTCTAAGATCAGGCTTCAAGCAAGAGTGCACGTGTGGATATACCGCGCTTGGAAATAAGTTCAGTGTGAGGAAGAAAACTGGAGACGAACGTCTGATAGGGTAAGTAGGCATACACCAGGGAAAAACATACTTTAAAATATTTGGGGCTACTTGTGAAGCTTGCTTGAATGAAAATAACACTCTTTATTTTGTTTTGCATTGAACTCTGTGCAATTTTGGGGGCTCTTTTATGATTTTCGGGGGCTTTTTTTGCATTTCGGGGGCTAATTTGCCCCGAGCCCCCGTGTATTTCCCCCCCCCCCTGGCCTACACCTGGTACACCAACACGATCGCCGAGACTTTCAAGAAATCTCTATAGAGGCGCAATATCAATACCTTGTTGTATTTCTTATAGAGATGTTCAGTTTGCGACATATGTCATTGCCATTGTTGCTAATTTTTCGTTGATAGCGAGGCTATTGATATTGCTTTGAATTGATTTTTTTTTATTTAAAAATTGTATGTGATTATGGTCTCATTGCAATGTTTAAAGATTGTTTTTAACCAATATAATTACAATGGTTGCTTGTTTTAGTTGATAATGAGGCTATTGATATTGCTTTGGGTTGATTTTTTTTAATTCTAAAATTGTTTGTGATTATTGTCTCATTTCAATGTTTAAAGATTGTTTTGAACCATCTTTCATAATTCAAACCGATTGAAAACCTTCAAAGCTTAACAAAGATTGTTGGCATAGGCCTACAATAAAGGTGACTATGAGATTTTATTATTGTATCAAGAAAAACAAAGAATTCTCCTGCAGTGTCTATTCATATGTGTTTCTAAGTTTTGAAATTTGTCGGACTCGGACAGGCTTATAAATGAAAACAGGAAGATTAACTCCTGACCAATCATTTCTAAGATTGGGATTGTTGATAATTACAAGCCAAGAAAATTATTTTACAAGATTATCCGAACTATTTGTTGTGCGTGTCGTTTAGTAAACCTGTTCCTAGAAAACGATATGTTTTTTGGGGGTTATCGTACTATCTCATTTCCAACGAAAGTTATACTGAAAACGTTCTTACTTCTTTTCAAATAAGAATAAAGTTATGATGAAACTTGGGCACATCAAAAACCTTCTCAGTTACTCTATAATGTTAAGTGCTACCTGAAATGGTCACAAGTCTCGCTTCTTCTGCCCTTGTAAGTCCATATATCTCTAGGGATGCACTTACCGTCCATCAAACCAGTATAAACAGATAGGCGACAGGGCTATTTCAGTTACAGCCCTCAAAACCTGGAACTTCTTTAATACCCCTTGCCTTGTATATACCAGAAATACCATACTCTCCCAGCTTTCAAGAACTGTCCGAAAACACCTTTTTGTAAAACTTTGTTTTAATATTCCTCTTTGTTTGTAATATAAACTTGTTATGGTAAAGTTATCTTTCTTTCTTCCTTTGTAAGTATCTTTATTCACTTTTATACTTTATTCACTTTATTTAATTTTATTTGTATATTATGAAAAGACGCTTTATAAATGTTTTAAAGGTATTATAGAGGGAATAACCCTCCCCAACCCCTCCTCTCCGTCCCCTTGTGGCACTCGGCCAATTAATACAGACATAACCACTTACAGATCCGCCTTGAATAGACCTATAAACTTATTCTAACCCTAGAATGGGTGTGTCGCAATACAACCTTACTTATTATGTCAGCTTATTGACGTATTACAAACCGAATTGCGTTTAAATTATGACGTATAGTCCAATTAGCGATGTTATTGCTTATAGATGGCAGTATTGGATTACTAGTGAGCTCATAGCTATAATGATATGCGCTTCCATTCGCTTTGTTCTATTGCTCAAGTTACTGGAAACACGACATTAAACTAGGTAAGACCCTGTTGAAGAGGGAAAAGGATTTAAAAAAAAATTATATTCATAAACCTCGATCTATTCTCGTAAAGATTCTTGCCATGTTATTTTACAGTTTATGTGATTGAGTCTTAATGCTTAGCATTTTATGTACAACTTGTGATCGTTGCATTTAACCTAGATTGTATTTGATTCAGCAATACAGAGTGTAATAATAACATGGAGAAAAATGAAGTTACTCCTCTCCTTTTAAAGGTACAGGTTTAAATTTGAGTAGAGTGTAGACCTGTAGGAATAGGCCATAGTAATAATTTAAGGCAAGAACAACGACAACAACATCAACAGAATATTGTTTTGACAAAACTATAATCATTTGCTTGTTGCTTCCTTATTGTACAAGACGAGAAGGAAATGAACGCAGAAAATCAATCAGCACTGGAAGAGTGTTAAACCGCTTTACCAGGGACCGGCGTCATTTGTAAACATCCACATTCAAGGGCGAGAATCGAGGCTCTTTTCTTGTTGGTTTTTGTTTGTTGGTTTATGTGTTTTTCGTGTTTCGTTTTGTTGTGCTTTGTTTTGTTATTTTTATTTTTTTCTAAATTATAATGATGTATTTGAAAAAGAATCATCCGTATGTTTATTATGAAGGATGAAAGGATGCATGTCTGAACGCGATTATGCCTCCATTTGAGGTTTCATCTGTGTTATTCAAATTTGAAATCTTTAATATATTCCTAGTGTAACATGTATGGTGTGATAGAGGGTGTTAGAGGAAGGGGAGAGATAAAGGGGAAGAGTGAGGAAGAGAGAGAGAGAGAGAGAGAGAGGTAGAGAGAGGGAGAGAGAGAGAGGGAGTAGGATGGATAGATAAATTGGTCGTCAGATGAAGAAGGGCGAGAGGGGGAGAATGACAAGAGACTTGGTCAAGGAGTGAGGGAGAGTGAGTGAGAGAGAGAGAAAAAAAAGAGGTGGGTTGGGGAGAAAGGTTCATAATTTGTGTAAATTATTTTACATTTAAAGGAAGAGGGGGAGGGGAAAGAGAGTATGAGAGAGAGAGCGCGCGCTAGAAAATCAGGAGGCGGCAATTTGCCATTTCCGAAGAGGTGCACTGGTCGCGCTTTAATTATTGAGGCACCGCTCCCCCTTCCAATGAAGTATGTTCTACCTCTCTCATTCGCAGCAGATCGAGCAAACCTCATGTATGTAATAACTCATGTTGCATCATGAAATGACGTAGTCATGCAGGAAACCCGAGAGAATACCTGGGGATTTCCGTTGGGTATTTCCCGTCTTTAACCTGATTTACACAGGCAAAATACGTCGTCTTACGATAGGAAAGAAAACCCCGACTTGCAACATCATAAGCGAAGGACTTTCTTGAACGTTCTCACGCTGACGGTAATAATGATAATGAAAACATCTGTATTGCAAACAAGATAATTGCACCATGCACCATCCTCTGGGCGGTGATTTGTTTTGTCTGTTTATGGTATGATCTAGATCCGTAAGTAATAGAATGGATTATTTAGTATTAGAATAATTTTAGATGCTGCTTACAAGTATCGGCTTGCATGGTGATGTACATATACAATAGGTTTACGGTTGCCCCATGTGAGAGGGGGGTGGGTGGGGGGGGGATTGGGGAGTCCTGAAAATCATTTTGTTTTCGTCGCAGCCAGATGCTGAATTGAGAAACATTCCCAAACATCACTTTTCATTCACAACATGGTGGTTAATTAATAAAGACATGCAATTATGTATTATGTGTTATGCGAAGTATACAACAATGTTTAAATATTATTTCCTTTTATTTTGCAGATGGAATGTGGACGTTCCAGTAGACAGTAAACAGTGGAATACAACGAAGGAAACTTGGAAAATTTGGATAAAATTATCATCTCTTTCATCGAACATCTTGATTCAAAATGGCGTGTGGAATTCATCGGTATAACTATATGGGTATCTTACCCATAGTGATGTTAGCTCTCTCTATCACTATGCTAGTCAGTGCCTACATCGTAGCCGTAACTCGCGGCGACGTCGCCTTCCTATTCCCGTACATCAGGTAGGATGCTTGATATTTATTATTATCTTCTAAAGTATTTTTAATTTAGGTCCTTTTTATTTCATTTTTTAAAATTGTATTGGTATTTTTATGTCGAATGGTTCCCATTTGTGCATAATCTCAAATTATTTACTTGATATGAATAATAATTTTTGTATAAATGTTCTTTTTAAAGTTGCCTGTTTAATGCCTTATCTTGACTACATTATAATATAACACACCTTTCCGCCTTCTTCTATTCATATTTATAGTGGTTTGTTTTACAAGAATTGTTTTCTTAAGTCTTCAAAGTCACTTCTCCTACAATCGTCGCCTTTTCTTGTCAAGACATCTCATCGGCTCCCATTTCAAACAAAATTTGCTTTCATTCTTTTTGACAGTCTATCAGTATTTGTTTCATGAATTACACCCTCCGACCTTCTTCCATTCATTATGATAAGTATGCCAAGTAACGTCAAGCAACAGGCACGAAAGTCATATGTCCATTGACTCGCTTTATATTAATGATAATAATAATACATGAGATTTATATAGCGCCATCATCCATTTTAATTAAATTCTCAAGGCGCTTCAAAATATTAGGGAACACAGTCATTACATCATGACAAAGAATCGTGTACATTTAGAACGATGCAAGGGAACCCTTAAATGTTACCTTTAAAGGCACACTGTCCTACTTGTACCTACTTGCTCCCTCTATATAGAAAACTTCCCCAATCGGTGCATGTTGGTCCCCCATGATCCTCTTTTTCTTATGTTAAATGAGAGCTGACTTAATAAAATAAACACCTGTCACAGTGACCTCGCTGGCTCGCTGGGTGGTCTAATCCCTTCTAGCTGAAGTAGTAAAGCCTGCCTTTAAATGCCTGTAAATACGTGACTTAAGCGTCTAAACATTTAGAGGAGGAAAATGAGGCCATGTTATTAGATATAATATCATTAGGTTGACTTTTTATGAAATTAAATAAATTTGTATTCAACTTTATGTTTGATATTGTGGTCATCCCGATTGTACAGAATCCCTGTGAGCCCCATTGCAGTCAGTACCCCGGCGGCTCTTGCGGTTAACAAAGCATCCTCTCTAACGAGTTAGGAACTTAGGAATATATAACTTGTCGCCAATAGCAACAAGTACAACGGTTGGCAAGACGGAACTGAAAATCACATGCTCTTATTTTTTCTTCCCAAAATGTTTAGACTCTTGAGTCATGTTTGTACAGGCTTTTAAAGGCAATAATGCTGTTTCCCTTTCATCGTTATAACCGAACAAGACGAAATTGTAGATAGATGTAATGGACGTAATATACGTTATGGCTTACTTGCCTGTAACTTGACGCAGTACTTGACGTAGGACTGCGTCTGCGATTGGCGCAGTCTGTGACGCGCAATGATCATGTGACAACGTACACAAAGTGAATGGTGAACACTGAACAATGCCGCCATTGTTTTGAATCATTGGCGACATATTACTTTCACAGGCTTGACCATCGCCGGTAATAGCGCAATACAAATGAATTCCGGTGTGCACCGGCATTTCACAATTTTCATTATTGTTATAGGTCCTCTTAAAAGAAAAGACCCCGTGACTCATACATTTTTTTAAATGAAATTTTTAGTCATTTCGTGTCTTGGAACAAATGGGGGAAAATATTTCAAAGAGACATTACCGATTCAGCCAATTTGAAGAACCCATTCCTTTAGCGATAACAACTTTCAGAAAATAATAAAAATTCATTCAATTTTTCACCAGTCTATTTCTCTGAATTTTTTGCTTTCCTCTAGCTTAGTTTTTTTATTTTTTGTTATCAAGGTTTGATTTCCCTTTAACCATGCACTACTACATTGCGTTGAATTAAAAAGCATTCAATAATAACCAACAATCATGACCTTGTGTTTAAAAAAAAAGTTCAAGAAATTGTACTACTAGTACAGCACCAGTGGCAACATTTCAGATCTGAATGTTATTATCATGTGACGGGGTGCATTCCAGAGATAATTGTGACCGTATGACACAATTCATCTTCTGTCTAGAGACTTAGAATTTGACATTTAGGAGATTTCATCAAAAACCCCGGTGGAATAAAACAAGTCTGCTCGTTATAGGTTCGTTGCAGTGAGTGTCCGGTAATGACAAAAATACCGTGTTCTCAACTTGAGTAACATCCGAGAGAGGAAACCCAGGAAATTCTATTGTGGATGAAGAAGGCGAGATGAAAGGAGCGCTTGTTTGTTCCAACTTGTTTATTTGTCTCATGCAAAGTCTTCTGGGGAAAGAAGAAAGGAGTTTGATCGATGAAGAAGGGATAGAGAAGGGGGGGGGGGGGGGGGAGTCGATTTTTATCCTCATTCCCTTTCTCCTCTACTCCTCATTCTCGTCTTTCTCTCTATTCTTCAATATACCAGATCAGTTTTACCCCTGAGGGATGTTAGGTTCCAAGCCCTTCCATATTCGCGGTATATATATATATATATATATATAAGACTCCTGTTGGATATAATATCTACATGACACTGGTCGTCGTATTCGTAAGTGCGTACAGACGCCCCCCCCCCCCCTCCGCCACACCTTTACCTCCAAAAAACTTAAATTAAAAAATAAAAGAAGAAAAAAGTCGCTTTTAGTTAAACAGATTTTGTTTATTTGTTTGTTTATTATATTTGTGTACAAGTATGTTTATGTATTTTCATGTTTTGCTCTAGGTGCCTTCAGCATTTAATTTTAAAGTGGATTTGGCGCCTTATAAATTATGTATACTATTATTATTATCATCATCACCCCCACCCCCTTCTCTCTTTCTATCTACAATGGACATCCTCTTTGTACACATTTAACATAAAGAAGCATTGATGAAATTAACTTTTATTTGATGCCATAATCAAAACGGATATCATCGCGGAAATGACATCACGATGAAATTAATGACCAGATGTAAAGAAGAGGCCATGTCTTTAAACCATGTCAGGTCTCCCGGTCAATATGAATCTGTCATATATGAGTCGAGTCTCCGTCATAAAGGTTAAAGAAAATACAAACAAATATTTTGGTCAAAATTTTAAAACCTTTATATATCCCTTTTCTTCGGGAACAATTTCTTATCTCACCTGATATTTCCTCGACGCATAAATCATGACTTACAACAGTATTTCGTTAAGAATAAACTAAACATTGTACCTATTATGCATGAACGAAAGTAAGTATGAAATTATGGTTTGAAGTACTGATCCCCTTTCAATTTAAATTTTATTACAAGCTACATCAGTCCGATGAATCTTTACTAATATTCCAGGTCCAGGTATTAAACATAAACTTGAATTTAAGGAAAATAGCGATTTGTGTAAAATAATAAGATGACGCGCCTCTAGAAACATTGGGAAAAGGAGGCGAATATCAGATGAGAGGGTGCAGAGGCCACTCTCATCTCCTTCTCCTTCTTCTTCTCACGCTGTCCCTCTATTTCCTGAATTTTCCCTTCTCCCTATTTTTTGGCCTTTCGATGGTGAAAGGGGAAGTGCTTTTGTAGCTACGTATACGCTAGCGTTTTTTATAGTTGACTTTCGGGTTCTTTACTTTTTATTTTTGTGTGTGGATAAAGTATGATAAAGTTTGACAATTTATCTTTGTTTCTATTGTAATTGTTACGTATATTTGCTTATTTACGATTCATTGTCAGAAAGTACCTTTAAGTATTTTATGTATGTTTTGTTACCAAAAAATTTATTTATATTTGGAATGCAGAAGAAAATAAATCAAAGCAAATCAAATCAGCAACGTTAACGTCGAACACAATCACTATAAAGTCCGTTCACACTATGTACTTGTTAGTGAGTCACACAATTTTTTAGTTACGTTTTATCATGATAACTGAAAGGATCCTTGTGTCAACACGACTCGGAAGGCAAGGTAATTGGATCAGTTTCACTACCTGGCCCTCTGAGTTATATATGATTTGAAGGAAGAAATGTGCCTTTATTTCCTAGTTACAAAGTTTATGAATGATAAGGCTGATTTTGTGTTTAGATAGTACACAATGACCTTCACCCCAAATAAGAGAGAGATTTTGATCTTATCTTGTCCGTGTTAACATATCTACAAATCTATTAAAAAATTTCGATCCCAGCAGACTTGTCATACCTAGCCTGACTGACAGGCGCATTGGCTTTTAGTTCTCTTTTTTGCACCGCTCGACGTGTGAATAAATAAACGAATGAATGAATAAATAAGTATATGAATAAGTAGATAAATGAAAAAAGTATTGAACAAATAAATAGATGAATATAAAAAAAAACAATAATTAAACAACAAAATTAAATGTATGCAAAAAAATGTACCTCTTCACCCGTCTTTTCTGTAGGCGTCAGCTACTCGTGTATAAAATTGATTCTCATTAATTTTACAAAGGCTTACCAAAACATAATCGCCTGGAATTTAGTCTAGCAATGTAAAAGGGGTAATGGACATTAAATAAAGTGCTTATTAATATATTAGTAACAAAAGGGGCGCTGGAAATTAAGTGCTAAATATATGAGTAACAACATCGGGGTTTTCCCTCATCTCTCGGACTAAGATTGAAAAAGATACGTTTGTCTACTAATTTCGTTATTTTTTAGCGATAGTCTTTATGAAAGATAGCAACCCTGCAGCGAAAATATTTGTTGTACTTTTTGAAATCCCAAGTGTATTTTAGGGAAACTAACTTCACTTAGCAGAAAGTAAAGTTGTCGGATACTCTGATGGGGACAGGTTGTTGATACCGTATGTTCAGAACTCTTCTATTTTCTTAGATTCTTTCAAGTATGAGACAGGAACATTAAGTAGTATGTTATTTCATTTATTGCTATTTGACCCAATTTCTCTCTAGTTTGACATTGTAAATCTGGCACTTTCCTCGTAAGTTGCTCATATGCCGGGTGTTTGTTTGCTAAACTAACCTAACTAGCATCAAACACAAATTAAAGTAAAAACTTTACGGATCGTACCAATTTTGTTATCATAATGATGC